AGTACTGAAGACTCTCCCTGAAAGACTCTCGGAGAAAAATCTTTAGTTGAACTGAACGAGAATAAAGACCTTGTAACTTTAAGAATTTTATATGAAGATTTAATGAAAAAAATATTTTTATTGATTTTTTATGAAGGTATATTAAAAGAAAAATTTATTAATTTTCTATGAAGATTTTTTTTTTATCTTCTATGAAGATTTACTGAATAGATTTTTTATGGATTTTCAATGAAGATTTATTAAATGAAAAGATTTTTTTATGGATCTTCTAAGAAGACTTAATGACCAAAAAATTTTTTATTGATTTTCTATGAAAATTTAATGAAAAATAAAGAACGATTACCGAAAAAAAAATCGGGATTTTATTTAATTCCCTCTTTGTAGAAGACACAAAATTTGACGAAAAAAACGAAATTTATTTCATGAAAATGTATCCATAATTAAAGCTAAATTTCCATCTTGAATGATCATCACTCGTAAAATTATGTTTATTTCTGGTTACCCAAGAGTCAGGTTTTGTGAGACATCATTTGTGTGTTTTAATGATTAGTTTCTTATCTCCAAGAATAAAATCTTGTGTATGTGTACTCACCTGTCTGTGGTTGCAGGGGGTCGATTCATAGCTCCTGGCCCCGCCTCTTCACTGGTCGCTAATAGTTCACTCTTCCTGCCCCATGAAGTTTATCATACCTCTTCTTAAAGCTATGTATGGATCCTGCCTCCACTACCTCACTCTCCAGGCTCAGTGTGTGTGTTGGTACTCACCTAGTTGTAGTTGAACGGGTCGATTCACAGCGCCTGGCCCCGCCTCTTCACTGGTCGCTACTAGGTCACTCTTCCTGCTTTATTAGACCTCTTCTTAAAGCTATGTATGGGTCCTGCCTCCACTACATAAATTCCCAGACTATTCCATTTCCTGACAACTCTGACTTAGGAAATTCTTCCTAACAACCCTGTCATTAATCTAAGTCTTCAACTTCCAACTGTGTTCCCTTGTTGCTGTCCCATCTCTGGAACAATCTGTCTCTGTACACCTTGTCGATTCCTGTGAGTATTTTTACGTGTCGTTATCATATCCTCCCTATGTCTCCTGTTCTCCAGTGTCGTCAGGTCGATTTCCTTTAACCTCTCCTCGTAGGACATGCCCTTAGCTCCGAGACTATTCTTGTTGCAAAAATTTGCACATTTTCTAGTTTCCTTACGTACTTGGCTAGGTGTGGGTTCGAAACTGGCGCTGCATACTCCAATATAGGGCTAACGTACACAGTGTACAGGGTCCTGAACGATTCCTTATTAAGATGTTGGAACGCCGTTCTTAGGTTAGCTAGGCTTCAGTATGCTGCAACAGTTATTTGGTTGATGTGTGAATTAGGAGATGTGACTTGTGTTATACTCACCGCAAGAGCCTTATCCTTGAGTGAAGTTTGGAGTCTTTGGCCCAAGAAACTGCACTCCGTCTGTGGTCTTCTGTGTGTGTGTGTGTGTGTGTGTGTGTGTGTGTGTGTGTGTGTGTGTGTGTGTGTGTGTGTGTGTGTGTGTGTGTGTGTATGTGTGTGTGTGTGTGTGTGTGTGTGTGTGTGGTGGTGGTGTATGTGTGTGTGTGTGTGTGGTGTGTGTGTGTGTGTGTGTGTGTGTGTGTGTGTGTGTGGTGTGTTGTATGTGTGTGTGGTGTTGTGTGTATGTGTATATATGTGTGTGTGTGTATGTGTACTCACCTAATTCACCTAATTGTGGTTGCAGGGGTCGATACTCAGCTCCTGGCCCCACCTCTTCACTGATCGCTGCTGAGTCCTCTCTCTCTCTGCTTCCTGAGCTTTGTCATACCTCTTCTTAAAACTATGTATGGTTCCTGCCTCCACTACTTCACTTGCTAGGCTATTCCACTTGCTGACAACTCTATGACTGAATAAATACTTCCTAACGTCCCTGTGACTCGTCTGAGTCTTCAGCTTCCAGTTGTGCCCCTTTGTCCCTGTGTCCCCTCTCTGGAACATCCTATCTCTGTCCACCTTGTCTATTCCCCGCAGTATCTTGTATGTCGTTATCATGTCTCCCCTGACCCTTCTGTCCTCCAGTGTCGTCAGTCCGATTTCCCTTAACCTTTCCTCGTACGACATTCCCTTGAGCTCTGGGACTAGCCTTGTTGCAAACCTTTATACTTTCTCTAACTTCTTGACGTGCTTGACCAGGTGTGGGTTCCAGACTGGTGATGCATACTCCAGTATGGGTCTAACATACACAGTGTACAGTGTCTTGAACGATTCCTTATTAAGGTATCGGAACGCTATTCTCAGGTTTGCCAGGCGCCCTTATGCTGCAGCGGTTATTTGGTTGATGTGTGCCTCCGGTGATGTGCTCGGTGTTATGGTCACTCCAAGGTCTTTCTCCCTGAGTGAGGTCTGTAGTCTTTGTCCACCTAGCCTATACTCTGTCTGCGGTCTTCTTTGCCCCTCCCCAATCTTTATGACTTTGCATTTGGCTGGATTGAATTCGAGAAGCCAGTTACTGGACCACATGTCCAGCCTGTCCAGGTCTCTTTGCAGTCCTGCCTCATCCTCGTCCGATTTAATTCTTCTCATCAACTTCACGTCATCTGCGAACAGGGACACTTCAGAGTCTATTCATTCCATCATGTCGTTCACATATATCAAAAATAGCACTGGTCCTAGAACTGACCCCTGTGGGACCCCGCTCGTAACAGGCGACCACTGTGATACCTCTTCACGTACCATGACTCGTTGCTGCCTCCCTGTCAGGTATTTCCTTATCCATTGCAGTGCCCTCCCTTTTACGTGCGCCTGATCCTCCAGCTTCTGCACTAATCTCTTGTGGGGAACTGTGTCAAAGGCCTTCCTGCAGTCTAGGAAAACGCAATCTACCCACCCCTCTCTCTCGTGTCTTACTTCTGTTACCTTGTCATAAAACTCCAGGAGGTTTGTGATACAAGATTTGCCTTCCATGAACCCAAGCTGGTTTTCATTTATAATCTTGTTCCTTTCCAGGTGTTCGACCACTCTCCTGATAATCTTCTCCATGACTTTGCACACAATACATGTCAGAGACAAAGGTCTGTAGTTTAGTGCCTTGTTTCTGTTTCCTTTCTTAAATATGGGGACTACATTAGCTGTCTTCCATTTCTAAGGTAGTTGCCCAGTTTCAAGGGATGTGTTGAAGATTGTGGTTAGAGGCATGCACAGCATCTCTGCTCCTTCTCTAAGGACCTATGGGGAGATGTTGTCCGGTCCCATCGCCTTTGAGGTGTCAAGGTCACTTAAGAGCTTCTTCACCTCCTCCTCAGTTGTTCGTATGTCATCCAACACTTGTTGGTATATTCCCTCTTGATGTTCCCTTCTGTGCTGTTTTCCCACAGCCCTTCCTGTCTCTACTGTAAAAACTTCCTTAAATCTCCTGTGTGTGTGTGTGTGTATGTGTGTGTGTGTATGTGTGTATGTGTATGTGTGTGTGTGTGTGTGTGTGTGTGTGTGTGTGTGTGTGTGTGTGTGTGTGTGTGTGTGTTTTGTGTGTGTGTGTGTGTGTGGCAGATATTGCAAATGTATGGAATAGGAGGTAGGTTACTGAAAGCAGTGAAAAACTTTTACGAGAATAGTGAGGCTCAGGTTAAAGTATGTAGGAGAGAGGAAGATTATTTCCCAGGTAAAAGTAGGCCTTAGACATGGATGTATGATGTCACCGTGGTTGTTCAATATATTTATAGATGGGGTTTTAAGAGAAGTAAATGATCTGGTGTTGGCAAGAGGCCTGGAGTTAAACATGAAAAATCTAAGTGGGAGTTGTCACAGTTGCTCTTTGCTGATGACACTGTGCTTTTGGGAGATCCTGAAGAGAAGTTGCAGAGGTTCGTGAATGAGTTTGGTAGGGTATGTAAAAGAAGAAAATTAAAAGCGAATATAGGAAAGAGTAAGATGATGATAGCAAACAAATAGATAACGAAGGATTGGATATCAGACTGGAGGGAGAGAGTATGGAGGTGGTGAATGTATTCAAATATTTAGGAATGGACGTGTCAGCAGATGGGTCTATGAAGGATGAGGTGAATCATAGAACTGATGAGAGAAAAAGGTGAGTGGTGCACTTGGAAGACTGTGGAGACAAAGAATTTGTCCATGGTAGCAAAGAGGGGAATCTATGAGAGTACAGTTATATCAACGCTCTTATATGGATGTGAAACATGGGTGTTGAAAGTTGAAACAAGGAGAAGGCTGGAGGCAGTGGAGATGTCATATCTGAGGACAATGTGAGGTGTGAATATAATGCAGAGAGTTCTTAGTTTGAAAATTGGGAGGAGATGCCGGATTACCAAAACTATTATCCAGAGGGGAGAGGAGGGTCGGCCTAGGAAATGTTAAAGGAGGGGGTAAAGGAGGTTTTATGAGCAAGGGGCATGGACTTCCAGCATGCGTGGTAGATAGAAGCAAATGGAGACATGTTTTTTAGGACTTGACGTGCTGTTGGAGTGTGAGCAATGTAACATTTATTTAAGGATTCTGGGAAACCGTGAGACCGGACTTGAGTCCTGGAGATGTGAAGTGCAATATCTGCACTCTGAAGGAGGATGTTAATGTTGCAGTTTTATAACTGTAGTGTCAGCCCGCCTCTGGTAAGACAGTGATGGAGTGAATGATGGTGATTTTTTTTCTTTTTCAGGCCACCCTGCCTTGGTGGGAATCGGCCGATGTATTAATTAAGAATAATAATAATAAAAATATATATACATGTTAAAAATATATAAAAATGTTTCTAAAATACAACTCAAATGTTATAAAACTTAGCCACAAAAGTCACATTTATGAAATGATACAAGTCACATGCTTAATAAAAGCTAACATAAACATTTAATATAAATCCTCTAATAAAAGTAAATATAAACAGATATAACTTTAAGTGCTAAACACTGTATTCGAGTGTCAGAAACGTTAAAACTTTTTTCTTACATCATAATATACATTTCTATATTCTAAAATATGTGAATAATGTCGTACCAGTGTAGGCCTCCTCTTGCTTGGCTCTTGCAGAGGAGAGAGCTGCTCCTGACTGTCGTTACAGTGGTTCTGTATTTCAGCCAAGGAACGAGAGTATGTGAGTCCTGTGCTCCTAGGAATCTCCCCAGATGGAGCAGCCTCGCCCTTCATGAAGTGCGTGCGTCTTAGAGAGAAACCACTGCCATTAATAATAATAATATAATAATAATAATAATAATAATAATAATAATAATAATAATAATAATAATAATAAAACTATTGCAGATCTAGATGACATCATTGGCATACTATATATAAAGCCACTGGTTATGTAGAGCACTTATGCCAACTTGGGTTAATCTTGTCCCCCAGGTTGCTACCCACAACAGTCATTTAACACCCAGGTACCTACTTACTGCTAGGTGATTAAGAGCAGCTTGTGTAAGGAAACATGCTTCTGCTCTGAAATGAGTAGAAGTGCCTGAAAGGATTGAGCGAAAATATAATGGAAGGAAATCTAGAAAATTCATCAAATGTTAAAATCGAAGCCCTTTCAAAGTCTCATTAGAAAGAAGGACTAAGTAACATGGATAAATTAAGAGGAAATGAAACTTACAAATAATCATGAAGAAGTATGGAGGATCTAAGCACTAGTCTAAAGTACACATTTACAGTAAAGTAATTGCACTGTGAGGTAGAAGAAACCATTAAATAAACCGGACAAAACAAAGCACTAGCAACTGGTGAGACGCCATTACGGCTGCTGAAAGAAAGAGCAGATATGTTGACTGGCCCCAAATCAAGACTTTAAAAGAGATTTGCAGCATGATTTCTACTTGTGGTTAGAGTAATTCAGTACCTGGAAAATCTGGAAACGGACGAAAAAAGTGTAATTTGATCAATTATCTGAAAATACTAACATCAAAAGGAGAAACGAAGACTAGCTGACCGGGAAGAGGGCAGAGGAAAAAAAACTATTGAGACAGAGATAAAAGCTAAAGGAACAGACGAGTTACAATGTGATTGTATGTAGATATGTACTAGAGTAAGAGGTTTTGTTGGCTCCTTCCATTATAACTTATAAATAATAATAATAATAATAATAATAATAATAATAATAATAATAATAATAATAATAATTATTATTTTATTTTTTCTACAAGTACATGCAACTCGTATAGAGGACTCGCTGACAACACTGACATACTACTAAACAGAAAGTCCCTGGTTATGCACAGTATTTCGGGAAAATTAGGTCAATTTTGTCCTCAAGATTCGACCCACACCAGTCGACTAACACCCTGGTACCTATTTTTCTGCTAGGTGAACCGGGAGAACAGGTGTCTTAAGGAAACACGTCCTTGTGTTTCCACTCTTACCGGGAATCAAACCATTGATCTCAGTGTGAGAGCTGAGTGCGCTAGAAATCAAACTACGGGACTACTCACAGCTATCAGAGCAGACGTTTCATATTCTGATAGTGTACAGACCAGCGCAGACAAGCGCAGTCAGCGGGATTAATGGTAGTGCTCAACCCATGCCAATACACCTAGGAGCAGAAAGTCATCACAACATAACTAGAGCCAACACATCTTCAACAAAGTCACCACACATCCTGGCCATCCAGGACATCCTGGCCCGGGTCTACTGCATGTGGTGATCCAGCCAAGCAAATTTACCAATAATTGAACACAGTCATCACAGTATGATCATAGTCACCACTACATGATCATAGTCACCACTACATGATCATAGTCACCACTACATGATCATAGTCACCACTACATGATCATAGCCACCACTACATGATCATAGTCACCACTACATGATCATAGTCACCACTACATGATCATAGTCACCACTACATGATCATAGTCACCACTACATGATCATAGTCACCACTACATGATCATAGTCACTACTACAGGGGCCAGGGCCTATGACTTTACCCCTGCAACCACAAATAGGTGACTACAAATAGGTGAGTGCACACACACACACACACACACACACGGGAAATCGACCTGACGACACTGGAGGACAGGAGAGATTGGGGGGATATGATAACGACATATAAAATACTGAGAGGAATCGACAAGGTGGACAAAGACAGGATGTTCCAGAGATGGGACACAAAAACAAGGGGTCAAAATTGGAAGCTGAAGACTCAGATGAATCACAGGGATGTTAGGAAGTAGTCCTTCAGTTACACAGTTGTCAGGAAATAGAATAGTCTGGAAACTGATGTAGTGGAGGCAAGATCTATACACAACTTTAAGAAGGGGCATGATAAAGCTCATGGAGCAGGGAGAGTGACCTAGTAGCAACCAGTGAAGAGGCGAGGCCAGGAGTTGTGAATCGACACAAACATACACACATAAAACACACACATACACACACATACATACACACATACACACACACACACACACACACACACACACACACACACACACACACACACACACACACACACACGCACACACACACACAAACACACAAAAACACACACAGGGGGAGGAGGGGTTGCTCTGCTCATAAAAAAACCGATGGAAATTAGAGAAAATGGGAGGTATAGACGAGACAGAGAAAGGGACTACATAGTAGGTACACTTCAGTCTGGGGAGTACAAGGTGGTCATTTCAGTGATGTATAGTCCACCACAGAACTGCAAAAGGCGAGCAGAGGAATATGAAGAGAGCAACAGAGCAATGGTGGACACACTTGCTGAGGTGGCAAGAAGAGCTCACTCCAGCAGAGCAAAGTTGCTGGTTATGGGGGATTTCAACCACAGGGAGATTGACTGGGAAAACCTGGAGCCACATGGGGGTCCCAAAACATGGAGAGCCAAGATGTTGGATGTGGTACTGGAAAACCTCATGCACCAACATTTTAAAGGGGACACTCCCAGAGTGAGAGGGGAGGATGAACCAGCAAGATTGTACCTTGTGTTCACCCTGGGCAGTTCAGACATTGAGGACATCACATATGAGAGTCCCCTAGGAGCTAGTGACCACGGGGTTTTCTCTGCTTTGAATACATAGTAGAGTTGCAAGTGGAGAGAGTAACAGGAGTTGAATGGGAAAAAGCCAGACTATAAAAGAGGGGACTACATAGCTTTGGGGAAACTTCCTGCAGGAGGTTCCGTGGGACAGAGAACTGGCGGGAAAGCCAGTAATGAATGATGGAATATGTAACAACAAAATGCAAGTAGGCAGTGGAAAGGTTTTTTCCCAAGGGCAACAGAAACAATGGGAAGACCAGAAAAAGAGCCTCTGGTTTACCCGACGGTGTAAGGAGGCAAAAACAAAGTGCAATAGGGAATGGAAAAAGTACAGAAGGCAGAGAACACATGAAAATAGGGAGATCAGTCCCCAGAGCCAGGAACGAGTATACACAGGTAAGGAGGGAGACCCAGCGACAGTATGAAAATAACATACCATCAAAAATCAAGACTGACCCGAAATTGTTGTATAGCCACATCAGGAGGAAGACAACAGTCAAGGACCAGGTGATCAGACTGAGGACAGAAGGTGGAGAACTCACAAGAAATGATCAGGAGGTATGTGAGGAGCTAAACAGGAGATCTAAGGAAGTTTTTACAGTAGAGACAGGAAGGGCTCTGGGAAGACAGCACAGAAGGGAACATCAAGAGGGAATATACCAACAAGTGTTCGATGACACACGAACAACCGAGGAGGAGGTGCAGAAGCTGCTAAGTGGCCTTGATACCTCAAAGGCGATGTGACCAGACATCTCCCCATGGGTCATTAGAGAAGGAGCAGAGATGCTGTGCGTGCCCATAACCACAATATTCAACACATCCCTTGAAACTGGGCAACTACCTGAGAAATGGAAGACAGCAAATGTAGTCCCCATATTTAAGAAAGGAAATAGAAATGAGGCACTAAACTACAGACCTGTGTCTCTGACATGTAATGTGTGCAAAGTCATGGAGAAGATTATCAGGAGGAGAGTGGTGGAACACCTGGAACGGAACAAGATTATAAATGAAAACCAGCATGGGTTCATGGAAGGCAAATCCTGTGTCACAAACCTTCTGGAGTTTTATAAGAAGGTAACAGAAGTAAGACACGAGAGAGAGGGGTGGGTTGATTGCGTTTTCCTAGACTGCAGGAAGGCCTTTGACACAGTTTCCCACAAGAGATTAGTGCAGAAGATGGAGGATCAGGCGCATATAACAGGGAGGGCACTGCAATGGATCAGGGAATACCTGACAGGGAGGCAACAACGAGTCAAGGTACGTCGGCGCCTGTGACGAGCGGGATCCCACAGGGGTCAGTTCTAGGACCAGTGCTATTTTTGATATATGCGAACGACATGAAGGAAGGAATAGACTCTGAAGGGTCCCTATTCGCAGATGATGTGAAGCTGATGAGATTTAAATCGGATGAGGATGAGGCAGGACTGCAAAGAGACCTGGACAGGCTGGACACGTGGTCCAGAAACTGGCTTCTCGAATTCAACCCTGCCAAATGCAAAGTCATGAAGATTGGGGAGGGGCAAAGAAGACCACAGACAGAGTATAGGCTAGGTGGACAAAGACTACAGACCTCACTCAGGGAGAAAGATCTTGGGGTGACCATAACACCGAGCACGCCACCGGAGTCACACATTAACCAAATAACTGCTGCAGCATATGGGCGCCTGGCAAACCTGAGAATAGCGTCCCGATATCCTAATAAGGAATCGTTCAAGACACTGTACACTGTGTATGTTAGGCTCATACTGGAGTATGCAGCACCAGTCTGGAACCCACACCTGGTCAAGCACGTCAAGAAGTTAGAGATAGTACAAAGATTTGCACAAGACTAGCCCCAGAGCCCAGGGGAATGTCGTACGAAGGAAGGTTGAGGGAAATTGGACTGACGACACTGGAGGATAGAAGGATCAGGGGAGACATGATAACGACATACAAGATACTGCGGGGAATAGACAAGGTGGACAGAGATAGGATGTTCCAGAGAGGGGACACAGAAACAAGGGGTCACAATTGGAAGCTGAAGACTCAGACGAGTCACAGGGACGTTAGGAAGTATTTCTTCAGTCATAGAGTCGTCAGGAAGTGGAATAGCCTAGCAAGTGGTGTAGTGGAGGCAGGAACCATACATAGTTTTAAGAAGAGGTATGACAAAGCTCAGGAAGAAGAGAGGGAGAGGACCT